CGATCGAATGCAATCATACACATAAATAAACAAAAATTTCCTGTTTCTCCATCCCTTTAAAAAGCTAAGCGCATACTAACACCAAATCATCGCTAAAAACCCATTTTCAGTCATGGGTCAGTGAATCGAAGATGAACCATACTTGTATGAAATATCGTTTAGGAGAAAAAGAAACTGTTATATTTCTGTCAAAAGCCATTAAATCATTATTACATTTAGCGAATACAATCAATGACTCTGATGAATCATCTTTTAACAGACATGATATGGCAATTATAAACTTCACAAATTCTTTATCATTGTAAATTTAAATAAAAAGCCTTTCTGTATAGATGTGTTAATTTACATAACTGCCTTTATGATCGTTAATGTGTGTATTGCTGTATGTATTTTGATGATTTTATATAAAAATATATTAGAATAAAATAATAATAAAAAAAAAACATAAAAAAACGGCCACAACCAATTAATACTAATGATGATTGTGATCCTGTCCTTGGACTAGTTTCGGCAATTGATTATCGGTGCAAGTGCTGATGATCAGCTGACTCAATGCGGGTTGCACTGGGAACAACATGTGTTTAATTATATAATCAATTTTATTCAAACATAGTTTTCGAAGGCTGGGTTGGGCGAGAATCGACGACAAGCAATTATTTTACTACTTTGAGTCTGTTTTTCAAAAAAACTGATTGAAAGTGAAACCAGACTGCAACTTGTTATATATGATAAAAATCGATTTAGTTTATCATCACCAATTTGGCGCAGAGTCAGTGAACGGATTCGACCGAATTGTCGAGTATCGAACATCGAGAAAAACAAATCGATTTTATCTGATGTTTTTTTGTCACCGTCGGAGAAAATCAATGAAGTGAATCGTTCGGTTCGAACGAGACGACAAGTTCAAAAAAGTTCAAAGTAGGGTTTGGAGATTGAAAGAAGATGAAGAAAGAAACGAAATGCCTATAGGCATTTAGATATTAACATGTTTACAGTTTGTTCAGGCTCATATTTTATGGCCTGGCTACATACTTACGAGGGAACCGCCCGAGATGATACTCTCCGTTTTTCTTCGTTCATACCTCAGTTGATAGAGGGTATCGAGCTGACAAAAAGCCTAAATGGGTTTCTGTGGAGGGCTCTCGAAGAACCGGTTTTCTGGAAAACCAGTTTTTCAGAAACTCTGAAACTAACTGAAACCTCTTCTTAATGAGTTGTAATTGTAGCCCGGAAATGTCTGATTAAAATGAGACGTCTCCCAGCTCTACACCACCTTTCTTTGCAAAGTTATAGAATTTACAAGAAAAGCCCTGAATGTTCATTGTCAGCTCAAAGCTACAGAAGCAAGATAAACTAAATTTAGGGCTTTTCTTGTAAATTCTATAACTTTGCAAAGAAAGGTGGTGTAGAGCTGGGAGACGTCTCATTTTAATCAGACATTTCCGGGCTACAATTATAACTCATTGAGAAGAGGTTTCAGTTAGTTTAGAGTTTCTGAAAAACTGGTTTTCCAGAAAACCGGTTCTTCAAGAGCAAACCCTCCGCAGAAACCTATTTAGGCTTTTTGTCAGCTCGATACCCTCTATCAGCTGAGGTATAAACGAAGAAAAACGGAGAGTATCGTCTCGGGCGGTTCTCTCGTTAGATATTTAAATGTTTAAACATGTGTTCGCGTTAATCGCGGATAAACACTGCATCAAATATATTACCACAAGACCGACTTGAGAGTGGGCCGATTTTGGCTCTTATTATCCTCCTCCTTTCGGTAGAGAAATTCGAAAAAAAATCAGAGTTGTCTAAAAATCCCGAAACAAGGATTCCTCAATGCAATTTTTAACATGATTCGAAATACGATATTGGTTTTGAGAAAAAATTGAAATTGGACGATGAAAACGTTAACAGTTTTGCATAATTTTTAAAAATTATATTACTTTTCAATGAGTGTCTGAAGTGACACACAATCAATACAGATAAATTCGAACCTTTATCAACCGAGAATATCAAGAAACACCATACGTGGCAGAATATATGCTTCTAGTATAAAATCGATGCATCTAGAAGTAAAGATGGAAGACGAACAAAGACAAGAGACGGAGGGGGAGGGAGAGAAGATGAGAGTGAGCCGCTTCTATCTTTACATCTAGATGCATCGACTTTATACTAGATACATATATTTTGCCACCCTCAGAAACACGAATGAATCAACGTTATTCATTTTTATTAGAAAATCGTCATCAGACAATTTAGTCTATGTAAGTTACAACTCACTTTTTACTTAGTTTATTTTTTTTGCTTCTCTTTTGTTAAAACATTTATTATAAAAGCTTTATGATATTCAAAATAGTCTTTCAGGTTGTAGTGTCCACAGTTGTGAACGTCAGGCTTGATTAGTAGTAGGATGGGTGACCGCCTTGGAATACCAAGTGTCGTAAGCGTTTTTTTGTCATTTTCCACTATTTTGTTCACGAGAATGAAGACTATTTTGGAAATGAACGTTATTTTCGATATGAGTTCACCACATATCAACCCTATGAACAAATTTTGTGTTTTTATTCAAAAGTCATACGCGTTCTTGGTTACGTTTCGCATTTGTTTTAAGATGAGCCAATGTGTCCGAAAATGTTTGTAGTATGATGGGTGACCGCCTTGGAATACCAAGTGTCGTAAGCGTTTCAACTCTAACTACTTCATTTGATTCTTTTCAGGAAACAACTTGATATCTCCGTTTGAATCATGTTGTTAGCAATGAACTGTAAATGCGAAAAGTGGGACAGAATTTTATGAATAAAACCTTTTTTTATTAATATAACTTACTACCTTTTCCCTCTTCAACAAAAAAAATATCTGACTCCAGATCAAAGTAACAAGAAGAGAAAGCACCGAGATAACTTTTCACAATGAAAATAAAAAATACATGAGTAGCCAGAACAAAAGATGCGTGAATGAATAAACCCACGAAAATAAATAATCTCAACAAAATTCTTTTTTATAAATCAGAATATCAGAATCCATTTCCAAAGAGCTATATGAGCATCAGCCGACTGTAAAGCTCTTTCAGAAAATACCTTTGAGTGTACTTTAGAGAATGCGACGGGAATTTTCGTAGGCAAAGCATGCGCAAAGCCGAAGGAAGGTTCTAACGAAGCACGTGCAATCCAACGCTGGGTTTAAAAGCTATACGCGGCAGCCTGCAGTCTGCGAAATGATAACAAAGGCCGTCTTCGAAAAAGCAGGAAAACCGTAGCCCAAAAATATCGGGAGAGGGGTGAGAGGCGGTGGCACCGCTGGCCCCCAGGTTTCGGACCGTCAAGCAAATTTCAAAACGCTCCGCGGTCCCTGCTCATAGCGTCATATAAATACCCTATGCTGTACTTTATGCTTTGGTTCTAAATCAGACATTTGTGTATGTTTCGACAACGGCGCATGGAGGAGACATTAACCAAAGAAACTTTAAAATAATTTCTTGGATACTGCTAACTATACATGTTTTATATATTTGGAAGACAGTTTTAATCTCCGGCTTAGTTTCTTATTGATCTCCGGGTAAAATTTTAACATGTCAGGTAGAACCATTAACTTGAATTCTATTATGAAATATTATTTTAGCATTAGCAATATCAAGAAAAGTCAATAAACCATGTTCTCTAGAGGCGATTGCACCATGTTGAAGTATCTTTAGTCACTCGCGGAAACGCCAATGCGCAGTGGAAACGCGTCTAAAAAAAACTCGTCTATCACCTGCCTAGTTTCCAAAAGTCATATTTTCGCGTTTAGTTGCAAAACAATTTTTACACTACTCTTTAGTTCAAAGTCAACGAAGTAATAGAGTATGAAGTTCAAGTGTTCATAGTGCGATATTTTGAAATGCGGATTCTTAGAAATCCAAACACTAATTCGACACCGTACATTCTCTGCCTGGAAATGAAGAATGCCACTTCTCTTTTAAGAAGACAATGTGTTGCTTTTTTGTATTAAAATGTTCGAATATTATAAGTGAAAGAAGAAGTTCTCAGCATATTTTTTGTAAACTTTAGCCGGTATGTCCGCAGCAAAAAATTAATTTAACGAGCAAAATCATTCATTATTGAACCTTGTTTGACCATTTTGCATAGTTTTTCTTTTGTCGTTCCATCTCTCGATTGGTCAAGTCCCACACGTTGATTTCACTCGTTATTGCATAGGGCACTGGTCCGTACTCAGGTGTCAATGTTATCCATGTTCTGTTCTTTTGTGCATCCCATATCATTTCCCACCATCGCTGCATTTGCTCACTTTCTTTCTTCGATTCGAGCGGATCATTGACTTGAGCATGTTGGGTAGAGCCGACTCGCGCATGAAGATGATCGATCCGCGAAGCAAATAGACGAAAACGTTCATCATCTGTAGGATGTTCCAGTAAACGTTCACAGACAAGCATAAAATGTGAATAATCGGCGGTTAAACGAAGAGTTGGAAAGCGTTTGACGATATGGGCAGTGATGAACGGATTGTAAAGTGAACGGCTTCGATGAGTCTCAAAATATTAAATTAGAAAAAACTTGTAGAATTCTTAGCAGAAAAGATGATGATCAACTATCAAACAAGAAACAATACTCACTTCATGTGACGATGTTACTTGCGGATACTTTGCTTGCACTTCCAATGCTTTTTCAAAAAACTGTTCATTTTCCTCAATTGACCATGAATCCTGACCACCTTGGATATTTACATGTATTGGTTTATATTGCATGAACTCTTCAAAATGGTTCTCTAGATTGGCCAAATGTTCATCAATCGATAAATCTTGCCATATGTCATTTTTTATAGTTGGATAAGTCGTTTGTACTAGACCGATCAGTTCCAGTTGATTGTCATGTAGCGCTCGACGAAAGGCTTCATGATCGTTCTGACAAATACGATGGATGTCACTAAGCGTAGCCTCAACGCCGGCATAGCCTAAACGATGAAATTCAGTGAAAAGATGGTCGATGTCGGTCGAGAATTGAGCTTCAGCACCCCAAAGAGCACGAAAGAATTTTAGTTGAGGTACAGGCATTTTTTTCAATATGATTAACACCAAGTGAGAATGATGTAAAGACATGTTTTATTTATAAACCTACTATCAGTTCGGCAAGCCAGATAAAAGAAGAACAAATAAAGTCATAGATAACTATACAAAAAAGAACGTTACCTTTAACCAGTTACCTGGATTCTTGAAACTTTTAGGTCGAGAAACGTACGAGTAATATGACAGGTACGCCTAACTAGGTATGTTACAAACCCAAACCTAACCAAAGAATTGGGTATTGGGTTTGGGGTACCCTAGTCTAGGCTTGGGTATTGGGTTTGGGTCAGAATTGAGTTTGGTATTATGGTTGAGTTTGATAATCATTTGGCTTACCAAGATCTTTGAGGGATTTCCAGAAGATCTCTGAAAAACCACCTTCATGGGAATTAGAAATTTCGATTCTCCTGTGTGGCTATGATCTGCCATACTGTCTTCTACAAGCCTACTCGAGGCCGAGCTCGCTGGCTTATTTTTTCACGAGAGTCCCGATTTCAGTCGGTTGACCTGGAATCATCCGAAAATGGGTCAAGGTAAGGGTATTCGATCACCCTGAGTCAAGTGGTAATGTTTATTTTTAGCTTCAAAACGATCTAAACTCACTACATCAAGATTTTCAAACTGCAGCATTCTGTCGCTACATTGCGCAGACAGCGGATATTTTTCAAGGAAGTCGAAAATCCTGATGTAGTGAGTTTAGATCGTTTTGAAGCTAAAAATAAGCATTATCACTTGACTCAGGGTGATCGAATACCCTTACCTTGACCCATTTTCGGATGATCCCAGGTCAACTGACCGAAATCGAGACCCTTGGGAAAAGGCTTATAGCTCTTGAACGGAACGAGCCAGCGAGCTCGGCCTCGAGTAGTCTTGTAGAAGACAGTATGGCAGATCGCAGCCACACAGGAGAATCAAAATTTCTAATTCCCATGAATGTGGTTTTCCAGAGATCTTCTGGAAATCCCTCAAAGATCTTGGTAAGCCAAACGATTATTGCATGCCTGGATGTCCCCAGATCTTCTCTTTCCAACAGCGAAAACCCGAACTCGCTAGCTAGTAATGTTTCTGAGTCATTCAAAAAACAACTGAGTCCATTCTTTTTTGAAATGGATAGTAGGTGAAATGTGGAGATGGGCATCGAGACCAAAAATATTTTCTGGTCCCGGTAAAATATTTGATTGCCGTTTCATCACCTTCACAGTTAAAATATCATTTGGCTGTGCATTTTGTAGAGAAATGTTTCCTCTTTCAGGTTATATATTCTAAAATATTTTGCGAGTCTCTTTTATCAATCAATTTAGCAAATACATGGCCGGGACCAAGATGACCGGGATCAATCTGGTCCCGGTCATTGTATTTGTCAAATTAATTCGTAACGAAGGCCTGTGGTATATTTTAGAATATATAACCTAAAAGAGGAAACATTTCTCTACAAAATGCACAGCCAAATGATATTTTAACTGTGAAGGTGATGGAACGGCAATCAAATCTTTTACCGGGACCAGAAAACTTTTTTGGTCCCGATGCTCATCTCTAGTGAATGTCTAGAAAAGTTGAGTGCTTTTATGCTATTTATTTTTGCGAATATTATCTTTATGTTTTAGTGTCTTAAATCCATGTACAGAACAGATTTCAGCTGACAGTTAAGGGAAAGAAAAGTCGATTTCGCATCGATGTATCTTTTAGAATTTTTGAATTTCGATTTCCTAACTGGAGTCATGAAATTTTTAAGTTTTTCAAAAGTATATAGCATTCCTAAAGCAACTAAAACAAACCAGAACATCTTCTGTAAGAAAATCAAAAGCTTTTCCAGTCAGGAACCTCCTAAGTTATGCTGAAAATTAAGCATTTTTAACGACTGCAGCTGCTCTCGTAAGACAGTACTGTCTCGAAGGATAAAAAGTCTCAACAACTGCAAAATGATATTGGCCATATTTTCGTCGCTTTCTGATGAGCTTTGTATGATACTCCGCTGACACTTTCGGTTGAAATAGCTTTATATTCGAGCATAGTCCAGAATCGAGCATCTAGACCACGCTTCACTATTTATAAGAAAGCAAATTGTAAAAGAAATTGATATTTTTTCGTGAAAATCTTTATTATACTGCAGCCGAATAAAAACCCTTTCAGATCAGGTAATAATTCTTTAAACTCAGTGGGTCAAAGGATGAAAATCTATGTAAGATTTCACGAAAAAGCTTATTAGCAAAAGTTGACACTGAGACAAATTTGGCGTCAAATTGACCGCGTATCTTTTCTCTTGTTACCGCAAAGAAGAGAAAAATATTTAAAGTAATAAGCACAAGTCCAAAATTATGGCAGAATTGGTTTTATACACTGTAAAAGGGATAGAAAATAATAGAGAAAACTAAAGCAAACCTGGTTTTCGTTAGGGAAAATAAAGTGAATGAGAAGAAAAAGACAAACAAGACGTATGGAACAAAGTTGTCAAGTTAAGTTACTACTGATAAGTTATACTTGAAGAAGAAAAAGAATGGTCTTTGGACAACTGACCAAGGGCAAACCCAATACCCAAGTGGCTTGGGTTTGGATCTGGGTTTGTAACATACCTACGCCTAACTATCTGTCAATTCAGTCATGATTAAACAAATGAGGAATAAATGCTAAGGTGATTACGCCTCAGTACTAAATATAGATTATTTGATTTATATGCTAAGATCAACTCTTATCGATTGACTTGAAGGTTAAATTTAGTATGAAGAATGTTAAAGTAATTTAAAAATTATCCACATTATGTAATAATAATATGATCTCATATGAACTGACTGGAACAAAATCCATTACTTTTAAATCAAAAAGGCAAATTTATCTCTGCAAAAATACTGATTGGGATCCTTTTACAATAAAACTATCGCTTACAAAGTGGATGAGTATTTTGGATGAGCATTCTGACTTCGACGCCAAGGTACCAGCTTGGACAAATTCATTTTTGGCCGTAGTAGATGAATGTATACCACATAATATGATTTCTAGTGCTTCCAGAGACGCACCTTTGTTTAATCATGATCTCAAACACCTATAGAAAAAAAAGAAGTTAAGATACTGATATCTCAACAAACTCCATAAACACTGTTCCTCACCAAAAAGCTGAATTATTAAATAAGCATTTTGTAAGCGTTTATATTCCGGATTACACCACGTCTTCTTTTTCACAGCTCTCAGTTAAGTCGATAATAATGTCTCATTTACGAAACACACTTCTTTGAGCAACTCAGCAAAATAGACATTTCAAAAGGGATGCGCAAGAGGACTGACGAGGCGGATGTTGAGAGAGTCAACCGAAGTGATTTCACGGTCACTAACTCATATTTTTAACGAATCGTTAAACAAAAGAAAATTTCCAACAGAATGGAACTAGATCAAGTGTATCTTATTTTTAAATCAGATAATGCTCATCTACCTGCAAACTATCAACAGATTAGTTTGCTAAACAGCGCTTGAAAAGTTTTGAAAGAATTATTTTTAAATATATTTTTAAATTTTTAAATCAAAACAACTTTTTTAATCGTAGTCAAGAAGGCTTTTGACCACCCGATAGTAAATCAAGTAATCCAGATAGTAGATAAAATCAATAATGCTTTTAATAGCAAAAAATCTCTTATCAGTTTTTCTGGACTTTAGTGAAGCTTTCGATCGTGTATCACACGAAAGATTACTGATAAAATTGAAAAATGTGGATTTATCCCACCAATAATAGTTTCCGACCTCATGGATGAAAAATTATCGGAGTGGCAGAAGGATTGTTACGGTAATTGACGGCAAAACCTCTGCTGAGTCGTCTATTTCTTGCGCTGTCCTGTGAGGACCATTATTATTTTTGATCTGTATAAATGACTCATTTGGTGGATTAGACAGCTTATGTGTGGTAATGACGCTTCTCTTCGCCGTGAAATTACCGATCTGCAAAGGAACTTCACTGCTATGAATGAGGATCTGAAAGAAATTGAGGAATGGTGCCAAAAATGGAAACTTGATCTAAATATAAAAAAAATGTGTCGCAATGTTCTTTACACGCAATGTATCCTCTCTTAATCTATCTCCTCTATATATTAAATCCTAAAAACTTTGATTTGTTTCGAAACATACACACTTAGGCTTGGTTCTAACTACTAATCGTGATTGGAATCCTCATATTAGATCGCTAATAAGTAGCTGCGGTAAAACTGTAGGTTCTATGAAGTATTTAAGTTACTTGAAGAAGAAATCTCACACTTTATAAAATTTAGATCTATGATAAAATTATTGGAGAAATTAGAATGTTCTAGAATTATTCTAATCGAAAACAAAAGCATGTGTAATTATTATCCGCAAGTTACTGTCTCTCTATTAAATATCATTTATTAATTGTAATGTTTCTACAGATACATATCGGAGAAATAAAGCTATTGCGGAATAGAGAACCATTATTCTTTATTTAGGTATGTTTAATGTTATTGAAGAAGATTATCGAAATGGACGAAATCAACAAATTTCCAATTGCCGACAAATGCTATTTTTCGCACTCTACTAACCACTCCCGTTAATTTTTCGATTACCTGAAACTAGTTGGTAAAGAAGAATGCGAGAGAAGTTAGCTAAAGCACATTGTTTTTTACTCGAGTTTTTGATCACCAGCGGTAGAATACACTAAATCTCTAAGCAAAACGAATATTTCTTACTGCTGTGAGACTGTGTGATTGACCGGCAAACTCTCAGATACGTTTTTTTCAAGCTGAAAGCAAATAGATTAAAAGATTAATGCATACGGTAAAGCCATCTCAGTTTACGCGGTGCACTTTGCATTTTCAAAAGATGAGAAATTCAGAGTCGAAACCGTTAGATATAGCTCGTTAAAACAGAGATGAGTGCTTATTCTGTTTCCTGACTCTAACTACTTCATTTGATTCTTTTTCAGGAAACAACTTGATATCTCCGTTTGAATCATGTTATTAGCAATGAACTGTAAATGCGAAAAGTGGAACAGAATTTTA